CCGTCACATTTCCTGAATCCACCATCCAAAACAAGGATCCAGTGTGATGCACACAATCATTCACAGACCATTACCCTTGTGTGCACAGTGCACAGGGACCGCATAGCACTTATAAAAGACTCACAGCAGCAGACGTCTCTATCCTGCTTGCAACTGTTTTACCACCTACCATATCCACAGCCTCCCCACTTGCACCCCATGCCACGGATGCCATGGCATCCATGTAAGCATTCGCTCCCCATCAGTACTTCTCTGCCAAACCTGAGTTGTGTAAGCTCCTACACTGGCAGCACTCCCCACGCAACGCTCCCTGCATTACCCTAGACATTTTCATCTACAATCACACCCCATCCTCACACTTCATAGGATATGCCATTTATGCACCATCCACCGCATCAGTCTTGCTTCAGGTAACTCTCCCAATAAGAAGAGCAAAGCCTACACCCAGTAAAGCTCAGGCAATGTATGGTGCATTCGCAAGCAAAATCAGGTTAGTAGCCAAGATGGTTCTCTCAGTGCCAATGACTGTCTTCATATGTGCTACTAAACGTTCTTTCACAATAAAGATATATTGCATTGCACAGCTTTGTCTGCTTATAAGGAATAGGTAGAAAACTAGGTGGCTGTTCCATGGTGGAGATGGAGGGAAGTGTGTGTGGGGACACCAGGCTGAGAGCATAGTGTGGAATGAAATAATCAGTGAGGAGGCTTAGGTAGAAATGCTGGGTGTGCTCTTGCCGGGGACACTTAGCAGCGTGAGCAAAAAAATGGTTCTCTGGCTAAAGGGAAGCACTTGGGGCAAGAGCGGGTGAAGAGGGAGCCATAACTCAATCCACTTCTCACATTGTCAGAGAGCAGAGCGGCGGTGGCAGGGATATTTGCTTTTCCAACTGCGAGGGAGCAGAGATGGGAGCACAGATGTCAGAGAGCTGGAAGCAGCAGGGAGAAATGATGAGCAAAAGCTGCTTCGGGGCAGGCAAAGGCAGCATGGCGCTAGCCACAGAGAAAGCACGTGACAAAAGAAAAACTCACCAAAAGGGAAAGTTGTGGTTCACATTTTTTTTCTTTGAAAAACAAGCACATGCAGGGTCAGGGGAAGAATCAGAAACTTTGTCAGGAACCAGCAAAGGTGAGACATACCCAGAGCATCCAGTGGACCTTTTAAAAAGTTGCTGATATAGCAAGAGAGCCAAGGATTGTGTGATGGGAATTTTGCTGCAAAGGCTCCTGGGATATGTGCCAGAAGCAGGCAGGGAGAATGAGATAGAAGCCATGACAAGCCTCAGGGAGGCTGATTATCTGTCAACCCCGTTGTGGGTTACTGAGTGAACAGTCAGTCAATCACGGCTTATTCTCAGGGTGGCTTAGTGTGACATATGAGTGTGCTCCCTAAATGTTTGTAAGGAACATTGGTAGTTGCACATGAAAACCAAGGTGAGCAAAAGAACTCCAGAGAAGTAGATTTCATAACCCAGCTTTCTTCATACGGACTCTGTGATCTGGGTTGGAGCGACCCCAGTGGAAGGCTGCGTAGTACTACCAATCATAAGATATTATGAAGCTATTCAATCTTTCCCTCTTTCAATGACTTTTGTTGCTCAAACAAAAAGACAAAAGACAGGGTGAGGAAACACAGGAGGGTTACAAATTGAAGACAGTATGGTCTGCCCCCCCCCCCCACACCCATTGAATTGTACAAGTGAAGCAAGTATACAATAAACATCCTGTCTGGAAGTTGTACTGTTCCCACAGTTGACTCTGCCTGCATTATAGCCTGGATGAAACCAAAGAAGGGCCATCATGGGGTAAAGCCACGGCTGTATATAGACAGGAAAGGCCAAGTGCATTTGTTCAAACAACCATCTGGGCATATTCTGTGCCTGAGTCAATCCACATCTATCTTAACACTGCAGAATCTACCATAGGTTTTGTTTCCCGAGTTCATCAAAACAAAGACCTAGATCACTGTATCGTGTAGCATGGTCAAATTCTATAATTTCAGGGACACTCTGTTCCCAGATAGAAAACATTAATTCTAAAATGTTGTGCCTTAGCACCTGAAAAACATGTTTCTCTTCCTCATTTGTGAAACTGCTAATCAATGTTTTAACTCTCTTTGATTAAACTTTGGTAGGTCCATCAGGGACCACATAAATGCAGCATGGAGCCATCTCTGGCCAACAGGCCACAAGTATCCTACACTAGATACAAAGAAGAGAATGACATCACCCCTGTAAGTTTTCATCCAAATGTTTCTTTATAGTGTTGCTGATGTTATGGCAGAGGGAGAGAAATCTTCATTTCCATTGTATTCAGCTGTTTTTAAAACATCAGGTTAACTTTTCACAGCACTGGGAAGAAGCAGATAATTAAACTGCCCTTAATGAATTGTTTCCTTAAGATCTACAGCTTTGGTAATCAGCTTAGTGATATATTTAATGTACACATGTTCACAGCAGCTAAACAGCAAATCTGGCTTCAAAGGCTTAATATATTTATGGGATTTCACTCACTGAGAATGAAAGCATTTGCAGTCTTCACATTTTTATAGCAAAGCTTGTTTGAGTCCTTATAATCAATCATGTTCCAATGAACCCATAAAGAACAACAGCAGGAAGTTTGCTTCAATTCTCTAAACTTGGAGAGAGTTTAAATATCTGGTTGCATAATTCATTGTTCTGTTTTTAACAGGTGCTGCGTATTTCATTTCTTTAAGTGAACACACCGATTTCCAGTGCAGGAGAGCTTAATTCAACAGAACCACTTCTTGTAGGATCAGAGTTCTCATGCCAATATTGGTGCTTCCACAGAAGGAGGTCTTGCTTGCAATGAGAAAATGGATGTAACCTCAGTAAAATGATAGCTGCTTAATCATTTCCAGAGCATGGCAATACCAGCAGCTACCACAGATCAACTCGGAAAATATGTAGTAAATTTTAAAAGGCATGGGAGCCTGGCAGCCAAAGGCTATCTTCCGCTCCCTGTCAGTTAGCAGGTTAGAAGAGAGAACTTCTTTTAGTTGGGGCCGATTATCAGTTTTACAGTATGGATGCCCGAAAAATCCATCATTAGAAAAACAAAGCAGTGATTGAGATTTCCATATAGAGTGATGTCCTTGTAAGGAAATGCAAGTAAGGTAAGGTTGAATGAGATGTGTGTACAGAGGGTTAAGGGGCTGAACAACACAGCAATTAACCCATGGACTCATGGACAACAACCCAACACGTTATTAAATCAACATGTTTTTGTTTCGTTGTTTGTTTGTCCATTCATTTTATCTCATTTTTTCCTGCAAGAAACCCAAAGCAGCTAATGTGCAAAGGGAGGGAAGATGGGAGAAGACTGGAGAAAAGCATTTTTGTTGCAACTATGCTTGCAAAATTAATTCATACGTTGAATTTATTAACACTGGCCCTATTAACATTGGAGCTCCTACAGAATTAGCCTGCAAACATATCTGCCACAATGCATGACAGAATGAGAGGAAGGCCTGCTATAGAGGGGGAATGAAGATTTGTCATATTTCAACCATGTCTTTAGTTCCAAAAATTGGATAAAAACAGCCTGTCTGGAATCCTCTTTGATGTGGAGAACACTTTTTAAATTTACAGATTCATGTGCAGTTGATGAGAAAACAGGTCTTTCTGATGTGACATGACTCTTACCTTGGAACTGATGACATCCAAGACTTAAGATACCATCTTCAGACATTTTCAATAGGGTTCAGAGCAATTTTTAGCTCCATTCCTAGATTGTGGCTATGGCTAGATAGTGCCAAGCTATCAGTATGATTTTAAAAATCTGATTATTTTTGGAATCTCTAGGCTTTAGCTCTCAAAATGCAACCTTGTGCACTTCCTTTCAGTGGGTTAAATCCAATATAACCCTGTCTGACAATCACTAGTGTGAAGTCTCCCTCTCTCCTCCCCATTAAAGCCACACCAAAAAAAATCTATTTCAGAGGGTTTCCCTGAGGATTAAAAATAGAAACATTGATTACAAGTTAAACTTGTGTGCAAGAGATAAGGATTTATTTTAAGCTCAGCGGAGCTTAAGCTCTTGCTGATTTATGGCTGCATCCAACTTCCTGTGCCCATTATTGTGGCGAGGGGGGAATTTCCCCCCTCCTGGAATAACCACCTGGGATCCAAGCCTATATCAGTAGCAGCTTAAATACTGCTGAGTTTCCTAGGCTGTGTATTGCTATATTCAATCCTCACTTCCTGCCCACAAATTTCACAAGTCATCATAGCAAATGCTTTTGTTTTTAAGTGGTCTAAAGGATTCTTGATAACTATCTTTTCATGTAGATTTTTTGCATGTAAACAGAAATCTTTCTCAGTCATTGCATAGTCCTCAGAAATGCCCAGCTCCATAAAAATAAGCCCCTTACTTGTCAATATTGAATAAGATGACCATAAAACGTGTTCACAAAGAAATGAACTACACGTCGACTAAAACCTAATTTTACCTTGGTAGCACAAATGCTAAGCAGGAACAAGATACAAGTATCAGGGAAGCTTTGCTTCAAACAAAATTCCACACCAGAAATATTATCTTGCTTTAATAGAGGGAAGGGGATCATGTGGTCCTCCAAATGTTTTTGGATTGCAACTTTTTGGATCAGCCCTAGCCAGCATAGCCAGTAGTGGGGGGTAATGGAAATTGCAGTCTAACACCTGGTTAGACACACCCACACACTTTTCCTGTAATAAAAGAAACCCTCTTGATATTGCTAAATTGGGGAAACACACTTTCTTTTCAAGTTTATTTAGCCTGTTTCTCAGGTGCCACTGCTACCAGATACTACCAAAGAAGTTGAAGATGACAATTTATTATTATTGTGATCACCACCCCTTTTGGGTATGTAAAAGTCCAAGAATGTGCCTTATTCAGTGTCCAGAAGCCTGACACTAGACCTAGTTTGGCAGCAAGCCAATAACCCAAGGCAAAGCAACATGTGGAGTGCGGAAGCCATCAGCATGCATAGCCTTTCTTACCTCAGAGGCCCCAGTAAGGCTGGGTACAGGAGCAGGGGCATTCAGTGGCTCTTGCAAGCTGTGTTCAGTAGAGCCTTTTCCATCCGGTCTCTGTCCTTCATGGAGCATCTCACTTCTTCCAAGCTGCCCATAGTCTCCTCGACCCCATGTAAAGACCTTCCCAGTCACTAAATAAAAGCACACAAAATCATAACAGCATTTATCCCTTGATACAGACAAAATTGTATACCACTGAGATCATATCAAAATTCAGTATCTCAGGTTAACAATGGAATGGGTGGGCAAAAGGCTTAATCCTGACATGGCCAACACTGTCACAAAGGAGGAGACTCAGTGGACCACCAGACCACAAAAACAAAACACTTCTTCCTGAGCAGCAGATTCAGAGTCTGAGTGTACTTGGTAATCAGCAACTTTTCTGTACGACCAGCTTGTGGTCCAGAGTGTCTTTTACCAACTTTGCTTGGCAAACACTGTTGAAAGAGTGACCCTGCTATTTTCATTCATTCAGGCCAGGTCTATATGGACCTGATTCAAAATGAAGCTGCCCACTCCTACAAGAGTAAACTCAGTGAGGATGTGTTTCAAACAAGTCCAGCTTAAGTTTATGATCGACTGAGAGTGCCAGAGACAGTTTTGCCTTTTAAAGCTCTAAACAGGCTGGGACCTTAGCATTTTGGGGAACACCTTCTTCATATGATTGCCCAATCATCTCAGCTAAACCAACGTTTCCAATGCAACATATACTGGCATTTCCAATGATACCCACAAAGCTCTTCACTCCCTGCCCCTTCCCCCCACCAAAACAAAAACAAAAAGAACCCCCACAGTAGTCGCCAGGCGAAGACCTTTTTATTTAAACATCATTTTAATTGTTAACAATATTTGCTTATTTATCTGGCCAGGGCGACTTCTTTTATATTGTTATTTTTTATATTGTTAATTTTATATTGTTATTTTTGTATTTTATTGTATTTTATTTGTGCTGTGAGCCGCCCCAAGGCTTCGGCAAGGGGCGGCATAGAAATGTTTTAATAAATAAATAAAAATAGTTGGGGGAAAAAACCAGGCAAGAGGACAAAGAATAAGAAGGTGGGAGAGGGAAGAAGCACCAAAACAAAGAAATCACAGGAGAGAAATAGTGAGGCTAAGAGCTGGTTAGAGGAGGAGAGCACAAGGCTGGAAATGAGAGGAGAAACAGTGTGGTAAATAAGTAGGGGAGAAAATAGGCTAGGGGCTGGAAGTAGAGAGAAAAAAAAGATAAATGAGTGTGCTGGAGAGTAAGAGCAAGGTAATGAGCTAAGGAGGAAGAGAAAGAGGGGCAGGATCAGGGAAGGAGGGAAATAGTGAGGAAAGGAGTTGGGGGAGAGAAATAGCAAGAGTGGAGGCTGGAAGGAGAGAAAGAGCACCAAGAGGAAAGGTCTCTGTGGATGAAAAAAGACTGGGCAGGCCAGGAAGAAATTATTTCCATCTCCCCCTACCTCAGGGTGTAGACTTGCTAGTTCACTCCCCACCCCAGACCTCTTGACTAGCCAGGCCCCACTGGCAGCCATCACGTGACCAGCCATGTCCTACACAGGAGTCACCTTGAGCTGGTGCCCATAGCTGTTCCTCAGTTCCCAAATGTGCCCAGGGGCCCAATCAGGTTGGGACTCCATGTTTAGTTCTTCAAATGAGGCTAAATCCATATGCTGCAGCCTCTCCCCTCCCCCCTCCCCCCCCCATTTTGTCCCCTCTGCTCACAGAGGGTGATGGAGGAGATGCCTCCTCTCACCACATGACTGAGGGCCCTGATTTTCCAGTGTTGTCAATCATATGGTCAGCCTTCACACAGAGAGGCAACTTTTATCTATGCACGTACTGTATTCTCATAGCCTTCCTAGGTATTATGTTGAATATGTGTCCAGGGCATGGCAGCAGCCACTGCATCCTCCTACTGATTGCTGAAAATTGGAGATAGCTAATTAAATTGTGGCTTACCTGAACCCTACACCAAAAATATACAAGTTTATACTGTAATCTTGGGGAGTAGGAGTGCAGGTGAGGTGAGAAAAGACCACAGCTAGAACAGGGGCACAGGCGCAGCGAACTTGCAGCTGGCAAGCAGCCCAATCCCTTCAACTACATATAAATTTAAATTTGATGAAATGTATTAGAACAATTTCCCCACTGGTGAACAGCCCCTTTTTACAACTCATCAAGACTCATGTTACAAGCACTTTAAAGGCTCAGATATTGCAGAGAAGAGTGAAATTTACCTAATACCACTTTCTTTGCACTCCATCATTTCCAAAGTATCACAGATTTTTGATAGCCTCCCAGGATCCCTATAGGGCAGTCCATTTTAAAAAGTAGATATCAATGCTGCCCTCCAGAGGATATTTATGATTATCACACAGCAGATTTTCTTGTTCTAAGATTAGCCCTGGACTTATTTTGAGTCTGTCATTAGTTCTTTCCCTACATGTTTAATCACTTGTTCAGTATTTTCACAAGTTCTTCCTCTGTCTTCTACTTTCCAATGAGATCCCTCATGAACTGTTTCCTGTCTTCTGCTATTCTTCCTCTGGGTAATCTCATCAAATCACATGGCTTTCAATACTATCCATACCATGGTTGTTCAAGTTCAAGCACAGGGGCCAAACTGAGCCCCCCAAAGTTCTCCACAAGGCCCTTCCCTTGGTGTTTGCTGGTTTCTCGGGTATACTGCATTTTTCCTCATTCTTCAAGGCTAAAATGTGTGTCCTTAGTAAGAACTTTAAGCTAAAATATGCTGGCAGCTGGGCCCATCTCCTGTCCTTTCAATCAACCTCGTTTTGCCTTTGGACAACCAGAATACAGCCCTGAGAGATTTTTCAAAATGGAATCCAGCCCTCACACTGACAGAATCTCAACATCGCTACTGTATGTGTTGATGACGCCCACTAACGCTTCAGAACCCCAGGCCTAGATCTCCTACTATGGGTTCAATACTTGCATTTGGATGCTTCACCGTCTTCTCAAAGCCAGTGTGTCTAAGAGTAAATTTATCATCAGTTTCTTCTTATTGTACCAGCTGGTGGCATCCACCTTTTGCCTCCTCTCTTGCTGTCCCTCATGCTCTTCTCTCAAATTCCTTCTCAAGTCCATCTTTTCCATTAACATTTTGGCATAACATTCCCTACTCTCTACTAAAACTAAGCAAAGTACATATACCTGGCTTGGGTTTTTAAATGTTCCCTTCGGGGCGGGCTGTGGGAATGCTGTTTTTAACTAAAGTAGAATGAAATATACCCAAATTTCCCTTTGAAGAAGGCTTATGTGTAACTGAACTGACCAAACACTCTTTCACCACTTATCTTCATCTTGGTCTTCCTCTCTGGGTAGATGTTGTCATTACACATCTTAACCACCAGGTGGCATAGGTTGTAAGCACTATCTGGGTGGAGCAGGGAGTTTTCTAATAACTACTTATTCTCTTCTTGGAAAGAGATGATAAGGTTCTTGTCTAGCTCCCTGAATAGTGTGCATCCTCTAAGCCTCCCACATTGCCTCTCGTTTTGAATTTCATATTGCAACATTTTTGAGACATGACCTGCCTTCATTAATATGCATATGAATAGTTCTATACAATATTGCTCAGCACATCTTTCCTGTCAGTTTTTAAAACAACCTCTAAAGAATTATTGTATAGTGTAGTGGGTAAAAGTCTGAACTATGAAGCTCACAGTTCAAATTTCACCATCACCTTATCTTAAAGGCACAGCCATTTTGCTCTCATTTAATTTTATTATGAACTTAAAAAAAAAAAAAAAAAGCCTGGTCTCCAGGTCATTTAAAGCCAGTAGTTTCCCACTGCTGAAGATTTCCACTGTTATAATTTCACTTCGTCAGTCTCATGGCACTTCAAGTATGCAGAAAGGTTTAATGTGATGTAATAAGATGTAACATTTACAATTTAATCTATGGGTTTTTCCCTAAGGGAACCAAATGGAAATCAAGATGAATACTACACTGTAAATTCCTTATTCAGTTTAACCAGGTTTGACAAGGCCCATTGGGTATGCAGTGATTGTCACAACAGAAACCTTCAATATACTCAGCGAATTACTTTGGACAATATATGTACTGTTTTATAGAAAACTAAGCAGAAAAATGCTATTTTCAGGGTGTGAAAAATGGACTGGTCTTGCCGCAGAAAGCTTTGTGATAGCTACAGTTGCTGCAGCAGCCACATCTTTCAACCTATGGTCCAGTTTACACAAGACAAGGGTAGCACAATAAGCCAGGGTGACTTGCTCAGCAGCCCCTCATTTCCCTAATTACCTTCACAAGATGCAGAGTTCCTGAGACATTTGAGACTGGTGAGGGTGGCTCCTTGGGGCAGTTAGTAAACAACCCAGAACCTAATGGCATGTTTAGGGTTGGGCATGGTTTGTTAACTGCCCGACAAGCCACCTTTGCTAGGTTCAGTTGACACAAGCAGCTGTGATGGAAACTATGAATCAGCAACTTGGCTGGCACCCATCTGGATCATAACCCACCAAACAGACCAGCTCATTGTAGCAGATGTACTTTGGGATGGGGTAAGAAGTTGTCCCTACAGTTTTCTGCCATCTTGGCAACCTGGTTTTGGCTCAGTTGTTTGTCAAGATGTTCATACAGATAAGAAACAATTTGTCAAAGACCATAAGTGGTAATAAATTAAATAAATAAATGAAAAGGTTAAAGCTGAATTCCATAGAATAGAGTGGACATCTTAAAATCAGATCAAATACCTCTTTCCCAGGCTGACAAATACACATCCAACAGAGGGATGGGAGGATAACTTGGCAGCTTGCTGTCCTGCAGTTTGCTGGACATGAATCTAGCAGACCAAAGTTCAAATGACCTCTCAGAAGTGAAAACTGAGTGGTCATAGGCAAGTCATTTTCTTCTAGCTCACCCCCTGGAAAATGTGCTGCATAAAGCAATTTCCTCTATAACTTGAAGCTATCCGTAATGTTTGATACATCTGCTCAAGTGTGCTGTGGTCCAGAAAGCTTATTCTGGAACAAATGTGTTTGTCTTTAAAATTTCACAAGATTCTTGTGCCTTTGCTACACCAGATGAATACAGCTACCCACTGGAAACTGCAGAGATTAATTTCACTTGCAAAGCACAAGACAAGAGTTCTACAGAACTAAAT